GTAATCGCTGGAAGCTAGGGGCAGGGACAGAGACAAATTGGGAAGTGTGAAACATGCCCTCTCCTAGCACACATGCACCTTCAGTGGTGGTGGAGACACTGGGGAAGCTGTCTCTTTCAGTCCATGCTCGCCATGCCCTGATAGGAAGAGCTGCTGCTAAGTCTGCAACAGTACACTGAGAAGAAAGGTGGGGGTGAGTGATGACCTCCTTTCCACATGCATTCCTGGGCTTTGGTGATGCCACCTTCAGCAGCTGGTACCATGCTTGCATTTTCTTTGGCCCAAAGGGGGCTTTGGTGAGCTGTGCTCCCCCTTTCCTTAGGGGCAGATAGTGCTGAGGGTTAGATCTCCAGGGAAAGTCTGCCTCCCTTCTACTTCTTGGAGCTGATGGGACACTATCCCCCAAATAGCCAAGGGAGCAGGCTGGAACACCAGGATTGACACACACAGACTGGTTCCAGATTGCAAAGCTGTCCCTGGCTACAAGCCTCACCACCCAGGAGAAACCCTGGTTTCAGAAACTCTCCTCCTGCTCCAGGCCTGTGACAGGAAAAAGACTAATTCCAGTGCCTACTGCTGGGGAACTCTCCACATTCACCACTCAATTCTGACTGTGGGTACCCTTCTGCCTTTCCAGAGCAAATGCTGCAAACTCCGGCCTGAGCCCAAAATGCCTGCTGTGGTCACCACGGCCAAGAGGCCAAACAATGTCTTTAAATGCTCAAAATGGATCTATGGCTTGGTTTCTGTTATTAGTTTTGGAAAATTTTCAGTCATTATTTCTTCAAATATTTCTTCTGTTCCTTTCTCTTTATTTCTCTTTATTCTCCTTTTGGTATTCCCATTATGTGTATTTATGCCTATTGTGTTTGTCCCATGTTCTTGGATGTTCTGTTCTTTCTTCATGCTTTTTCTCTTGTTTTTAGTTTGGGAAGTTTCTGTTGACATACCTTCAAGCTCTCTTATTTTTCACATGACTATGTTCAGTAAGTTCATGAGTTCGTCAAAGATGTTCTTTATTCTGATGCAGTATTTTTTTTATTTCTAGCATTTCCTTTTGATTGTTTCTTAGAGTTGCCATATCTCTACATGCATTACCCATCTGTTTCTGCTTGTTGTGTTTTTTTTTTTTTATTAGAGCCCTAAGTATTAATACCTCAATCATAGTTATTTTAAATTTCCGGTCTGATAATTTCAAAATCTCTATTATAATTAAGTTTGGTTCTGATGCTTGCATTGTCCCTTTAAACTGTATTTTTTTTTTCTTCTTGTGTGCCTTGTAATTTTTATCAAAATCTGGATATGACATAGTTGGTCAACTGGAACTGAGATAGGCCTTTAGTGTGAGCTTTTATGTTTATGTGGTTAGGAGTTAGACTGTGTTTACTGTTTACTGTAGATATTGTGTCAGAGGCTACAATTTCCTCCAGTTTCCATCTTTATGTCTCTCCTAGAGACTTCATCCTTGGGTGTTTCTAGGGACCCCTTTTTAAATAGGGTCTGAGGCTTGCAGTGCTTTTCGCTATAATCTTCTGTTTCTATACAAAATTCCTATTGAGTTCATTGTAAGATGTGCAGGAGGGGAAGCATTCTGTAGCACTGTGATTTATTCTCAGTATTTTAGTGAGCTTATGCCCTTAAATCGTGACCTTCACAAGTGCTTGTCAGCTTCCTGTTTCCTATACCCACGTCAATCCTTAGGTGAAATAAGAAGGCCAGATGGGGGCTGGGTTTGGGTATTTTCCTTACCCCAGGTTGATCAGGTTTTGGCAAAATCCAACTTGGTTAGGCTCTAGTAACCTAGTTCCCCTTGTTCTCCTTGTTAAGGAGAACAGAGAGTTCTGGTATATTTAAAAATAGTGGCATTGGAATTAGAAAAAGAGAGAACAAAGAGAAAATAATTATTAAAGTGGTAGACTTAAATCAAAGCATATCAATAAGAATACTAAATATAAATAGTCCAAACACATCAGTAAAAAAACAGTGACTGTCAGAATGGATAAAAAGAAGAAATCGGCCAGGCACGGTGGTTCATGCCTGTAATCCCAGCAGTTTGGGAGGCCAAGGCAGGCGGATCACAAGGTCAGAAGTTCAAGACCAGCCTGACTAACATGGTGAAAGAACGTCTCTACTAAAATACAAAAAAAAAAAAATTGCTGGGTGTGGTGGGGCATACCTGTAATCCCAGCTACTCAGGAGGCTGAGGCAAGAGAATTGCTTGAACCTGGGAGGTGGAGGTTGCAGTGAGCTGAGATTGCACCACTGCACTCCAGCCTGGGCGACAGAGTGAGGCTCCATCTCAATTTAAAAGAAAAAGAAAAAGAGGAAGAAGAGGAAGAAGAAGAAGGAGAAGAAGAAGAAGGAAGAAGAAGAAGGAGAAGAGGAGGGAGAAGAAGAAGGAGAAGGAAGAAGAAGAAGGAGAAGAAGAAGGAGAGGAAGAAGAAGAGGAGGAAGAAGAAGAAGAAGAAGAAGAAGAAGGAGGAGGAGGAGGAGGAGGAGGAGGAGAAGGAGGAGGAGAAGGAGAAGGAGAAGAGGAGAAGGAGAAGAAGAAGAAGGAGGAGGAGGAGGAGGAGAAGAAGAAGAAGAAGAAGAAGAAGAAGAAGAAGAAGAAGAAGAAGAAGAAGAAGAAGAAGAAGAAAAGAAGAAGAAGAAGAAGAAGAAGAAGAAGAAGAAGAAGAAGAAGAAGAAGAAGAAGAAGAAGAAAGAAGAAGAAGAAGAAGAAGAAGAAGAAGAAGAAGAAGAAGAAGAAAGAGAGGAGGAGAAGAAGTGAAGAAGAAGAAGCAGAAGAAGAAGAATAAATAATAGTTAAATAAAGAAGAAGAAGAAGAAGAAAGTGCCAGTTGTGTAAATATAAAGTTAATAAGACAGTTAAATAAAGAGAAGAAGCAAGAAGTAGAAGAAGGTTAAATAATAATTGTTAAAGGTGTTGTGCCAAAGAAGGTGACACAGCTAAAGGGCTAAGAAGAAGAAGAAGAAGAAGAAGAAGAAGAAGAAGAAGAAGAAGAAGCAGCAGCAGCAGCAGCAGCAGCAGCAGGGCTCAGTGGCTCACGTCTATAATCCTAGCACTTTCGGAGACTGAGACTGGCAGATTCTTTGAGCCCAAGAGTTTAAGACCAGCCTGGGCAACATGGTGAAAATACAAAATTTACAAAAATTTTGTACAAAAAATACAAAATTTAGCCATGTGCTGGTGGCTCACACTACCTGGGAAGCTGAGGTGGGAGGATCACCTAAGACTGGTAGATCAAGGATCCAGTGAGCTGTGATTGTGCCACGGCAATCCAGCCTAGGTGACAGAGTGAGACTCCATATCCAAAAAAAGAAAAAAGAAAAGAAAAGAAACCAACCATAAGCTAACATCCATTTTAAATATAAAGATATAGGGGTAGGCTAAAAGTAAAATGACAAAAATAGATATACCATGCAAAACCTAACCAAAATAATGCTTGCTTGAATTTATTAATATCAGACAAAGTACATTTCAGAACCAGGAAAATTACTAAGAATAAATAAGATCACTGTATAATGATAAAAGTGACAATTCACCCCAAATACGTAACAAGCAATACATGTGTGTACATCTAATAGCAGAGCTACAAAATATTTGAAGAAAAGCATATATCAATAAAAAGAAAAGGAAAGATTCAGAATCATAGTCAAAAACATTAACATTATTCTTAGTAATTGATGAAATATGTAGAGAGAAAGTCAGTTGAATGATGGCCCCCTAAAAATGTGTCTACCTGAAACCCCTGAATATGACCTACAGTAGTCCTCCTTAAATCTACTAAATATATATTCCAAGACCCCAGTGGATGCCTGAAACTGCAGATAGCACCAAACCCTATACAGTGTAAATGCTGCTTTTTCTTATATATAGATACCTATGATAAAGTTTAATTTATAAATTAGGCACAGTAAGACATTAACAAAAATAACTAATATTAAAATAGAACAATTATAACAACATACGGTAATAAAAGTTACATAAATATGGTTTCTCTCTCTCTGTTTCTTTCTCTCTCTCAAAATATCTTATTGTACTATACCCATCTATTTTTGGACCATGGTTGACCATGGGTAACTAAAACCATGAATAAGAAAGTGCCGCTATATTTAGAAAAACACTCTTTGATGATGTAAGTAAGTGAAAGGGCTCAAGATGAGATCATCCTGGATTAAGAGGGATCCTAAATCCAGTGACAAATGTCCTTTTAAGAGAAGAAAAGGGGAAAACACACACAGAGGGGAAGGTTACATAAAAATGGAGGCAGAGATTGAAGTAAACTATCTACAAGCCAAGGAGCACCAAGGATTACTGGAAACCACCAGGGGTTAGGAGAGATGTATGGAATATATTCCTCCACAAAGCCTCCGTAAGGAACCAACCTTGTTGACATCTTGATCTCAGACTTCTGGCCTCCAGAACTATGAGCGAATAAATTTATGTTGTTTTAAGTCACTAAATTTGTGATGCTTTGTGATGTCAGCCCAATGAAACTAATATAGTCAGTAAAAATGTAGAAGAACTAGAGAACACAACCCTTCAACTAAATCTGATTGACCTTCATAAAACACTTCCTCCAACAGCAGTGGAATATACATTCTTTCCCAGTGTACATAAAACACGTACCACATTGTGCTCTGTTGTCTGCATTGTCGATATAGAAAATGATAATATAATTTTTAAAAAGAAAAGTCAAGTGAGGGGATAGCAAAAGGAAAAATTCTAAAACTGAATCATGAAATAATATGTATTGATTGTATCTAGTTAATTTTTAAGTCAGTGACTCCTAAAGAAAACCATCTGCTGGCAGCAGAGGAAGTCATACTACATGGAAACCAATTCTGATGATTCCATAACTGAAAACCAGTTAGTATTGATTTTTGATATTTAATTTATCACACTAAAAGGTATAAAATAAGCCATAATAATTTATATAGAAAAGCAAGCACTATTATTTGCTGATGATATTTTCTTTTCCCTTTCAATATTTCAGTTCTTGTTCAGCTTGGAAAACCATATTACCCTGAACCAAGGGAACCTCTTCAAAAAATCTTCACACTCTGAAGCACCACTGTGTCCAGCAGTTTCACCAAAAGAGACTGAACTTAGAATAAAGGACATTATGGAGAAACTAGACCAGCAGATCCCACCCAGACCATTCACCCATGTGAATACCACCACCAGTGCCACACACAGCACAGCCACCATCCTTAACCCTCAAGATACGTACTGCAGGGGGGATCAGCTGGACATCCTTCTGGAAGTGAGGGACCACTTGGGATGCAGGAAGCAATATGGTGGGGATTTCCTGAGGGCCAGGATGTCCTCCCCAGGCCTAATGGCAGGTGCTTCAGGAAAGGTGACTGACTTCAACAACGGCACCTACCTGGTCAGCTTCACTTTGTTCTGGGAGGGCCAGGTCTCCCTGTCTCTGCTGCTCATCCACCCCAGTGAAGGGGTGTCAGCTCTCTGGAGGGCAAGGAACCAAGGATGTGATAAGATCATCTTCATCGGCCTGTTTGCCAACAGAACCTCCAATGTCTTCACTGAATGTGGCCTGACCCTAAACACAAATGCTGAACTGTGCCAGTACATGGATGACAGAGACCATGAAGCCTTCTATTGTGTGAGGCCTCAACATATGCCCTGTGAGGCCTTGACCCACATGACCACTAGGACAAGAAATATTTCCTATCTTAGCAAGGAAGAATGGAGCCTTTTCCACAGGTAAAGAGGCTTCGAAATACAATAATAGACAAAATGAGGTATTTGACTAAACTCTGCCTAGTAGTTTTGCCTAATCAAACTTTTGTGTCATGTCAATTATGTTGACTAAATTATAATTAGGTCCTCAGAGTCCGTTCAGCTTGGAGTGTGTTCACAGGGATCCATACAAGTCACCTCTAGAACTATTTGCTGACAGGAGTATAACCAGTGAAGCACTTAATGTAGACGTATAGTTCTCCATGGTTTACAGTACTTCCAGGTTCAGTAATTTTTTATAGACCAGTATTTTCTATAATGTGTTCCATGGAATACTAATCCTATAGAGTATTAATAGATGCTGTACAATAAAAAAGTGGTGAATGATATCATTGTTCAGTCAAGCTTTACCCCTTACATCCAGTGAGTCATCAAGTTCTATACATTATACCTCTCAACTATCTCCTGAACCCAGCCATTTCTGTCTACCACGATTGCCTCTATCCTTGTATAATCTGCCATCATACCTCAGATCATTGCAACAATCCCCAGAGCTGATTTCTCTGCCCTCAGTCTTGTTTCTTCCAATCTATTCTCCACACTGCACCTAGACTAATGTTTTTGAAATGCAGTTACATCTTTTACTATTTCCCCCTTAAAAGTTTTAAGATGACCCCATGACTCTAAGGGTGAAATTTAAACTCTTTAATATGTTTACAAAGACTTTTCTCCCTTGGCAGCCTCTTGTCTCACCTTTATGCTGCCTTGCTCTCTGTCGGTCAGTGGAACTCCTTTTATTTCACAAATGGACCATGTCCTCTCACCTCTGGCATTTCACAGGCTTTGGTTCCTCTAGGAAACTTTCCATCTCCCTGAGTGAAGTTCTAGTCCTATATTCTTCCTTAGCATTTTGTTCTTCCCCAACGTAATTCTTATTACATTATTAATTTTCCAATTTATTTTTAATATCCTCTGTTAAGTTGTAAGCTCTGCAGAGCATTAAGTGTTAACTACTTTTCACCATTCATTCTTCTTTTTTTTTTTTTTTTTTTTTTTTTTTTGAGACTGAGTCTCACTCTGTCACCCAGGCTGGAGTGCAGTGGCACGATCTCAACTCACTGTGCCCTCCACCTCCTGGGTACAAGCAATTCTCCTGCCTCAGTCTCCAGAGTAGCTGGGACCACAGGCACCTGTTACCACGCCTGGCTAATTTTTGTATCTTTAGTAGAGACGGGGTTTCACCATGTTGGCCAGGCTAGTCTTGAACTCCGCACCTCAGGTGATCCACCCACTTCATCTTCCCGAAGTGCTGGGATTATAGGCATGAGCCATCATGCCTAGACCATTCTTTCAGTGTATAAGTAGTCAGCACCTTCTGTATTCCAGACACAGCCCTAGGTGTTGGGAATTAACAATTCTAGTGGGCTAGAAGGATAAAAAGTAAATAAACAGATTTTTCTTTCACTGTTTCCTCCTTAAAAGCTTTAAGATGACCCCACGGCTCTAAGGGTGAAATTTAAGCTCTTTTAATATTAAAACTCTTTAATATGAAGGTCATAAGAGTAAGGGTTTCAAACGTGAGAGTTGATGCTATTTTAAAACGGTGTCAGGTAAGGCTTGTCTTGAGCAGCAACCTGAGTGAAGTGAGGGAGTAAGCCATGTCAATTTTCGGGAAATAGCATTTTCAAGAGAATGAATAGGACCTGAGGCAAGAGCATGTTGGAATGTTCCAGGAACCATGGTGGGGGTGGAGTGCAGTGAGGCTGGAATGCAGGAAGTGAGGGAGACAGAAGATGAGATAGGTAGGCAGGGCCTTAGAAATCATCTATCTGTGTCTGTCAGGAAGTCAGTCAGGGCCAGTATTTTGTCTCACAGGCCCAGCACAATGCCTGACACTGAGAAAGTTCTGAATAACTATTTGTTGAATGAAAAAATAAGTGAAATAATACAATCAGGAGAAATAATGAAAGTTAAGTTGGTTTCTTTGCAGCAGGACTTCTCAGAAACTTTAATATGTATCCCTTCAAGCAAGAATAGAGCACACAGCATTTCCCAAATTTATTTGGCCACAGACCACTTATTTTATGGATCATTTAAAGAGACTTTGGTTCCCCAGTTTGGGAGCTGCTGCCATAGAAAGGCTTTAGTTTTCTGATATGTGTTCAGAAGGGCAAATTTCCAGGATAGCACAATATCCTGGAAATTCAAGTTCGAATCCAATTTAAGCATTATGATGACACAGAGAGTTGGGTACAACTGACCCTACATCACTTCAGGCTCTCCCTTTCACCCCTACGTCACCTTCACTTCTTTACATTTTCCTGATCAAGATATGGAAAAATCTCTTTATCCCCTCTGGCTCAGTTAAAAGAAGCTGGGATTTTTAAAGTAAATTTTTATGAAGCAAAGGAAAAATGGTCATGGAGACATAAAGTTCTTCTTGTCTTGAAGGTCTCAGAATTATGTCTTAAATGTAAGGGGGGACTTAAGTTTCTATATTCCATATGTTCTACGTGTGCCTGACTCTATATTCCCTGTTGGCTACAGCTGGATCCCTCTTGAGTTAGTCCTCATTGAAAGCCCGGGTTGGAGGTACCATCCTTGCACAGTTGCTGGCTGTATCTCAGGAAATCCAAAGTCCCTAGTCTGGCAGACTGGCACACATTTTGGGTCCTAATCAGGCTTCTCAAGGGGGCTGTGCTCATGACAGTAATCATGATAGTAATCTGCTTTATTTCCAAATGGACATAAGTCCTTCCCAGATGCCCTGCTCTATTCAAGCTATTAAGTTTTTTTCCTCTACTGCATGGAAATAGAGATTTCAGTCTCCTTACAGGTGATGTAATGCATATGCAAGGAACAGCTGATTACACATCCAAGAAGTCTCATGGACCATTCTATTGCTAAGCTCTAGGGCCCCTTCCTAGACCCAAGCCCAGTTCTTTGACATCTTTCCTTCTCATGAACACAGGGACTAAGCCAGTTGCTGTTTCATTTGTAACATAGTACCATTAATCCTTGAACAACCCAGATTTGGACTGCACAAATCCACCTGTATTCAAAGAATTTTCAACCAAATGTGGATCAAAAATATAATATTCACAGGCTGCAAAACCTACATATAAGGAAAGCTGACTTTTCATATGCTTGGGTTCCACGGGGCTGAATGCAGGACTTGAGCGTACGCTGATTTTTGTAGATGCCGCGGGGGTCCTGGGACCAATCTCCCACATATACTGAGGGATGACTGTAAATATATTTTCCAACTTGGGTTCTCTCTCCCAACCCTGGCTGAAGAATCAGAAATGTTACTTCCTAGGACATTTATTTCTTCAAATTAACAAAAGTCTTCTTCTTTTTAATTTAAGAGTTTTATGGATAATCATGATTAAAAAAATAAATGAGGGGCTACCACAGGAGAAGACATCACATAGGTAACACAGTTGTTCACTATTCTGTTAGTTTATATTATGGTCTAATTAATTATAGACCCCTTTTTAAAATTTAATGCACATACACAATTACAAAAACAGGAGGCATTAAAATAAATTCTTTTATAACATTAATACATGGTTTTAATCCTAATTTTAATATAGCATCAAAGTTTTCTTTGGTAACCAAATTTACAAGGTAGCCAGGTCTTGATCTCTTTTGTTATCCTCAGGCTTACCTGAGATAGGTATGGGAGAATAGGTCAGGTTCAAATTTCTTAGAGACAAATCTTAATCTTGTGCCAAAAATAGGTCTGATGGGATCCTCAGTAATAATAATTGCAATGATTTGTTGAGCACCTACTATATGTCAACCTTTATGTTAGATGCCTCCCTTGTATTATACCATTAATCCTCAGTAATATACTCTGGAATGACTATTATTATGCTCATTTTAAAGATGAGGAAATTTAGGCATATTAAATAGGTTGGCCAAAGTCACATATCCAGTTGAATTACAGAGTCAGAACAGGATTCCCAGTCGATCTTATTCTAAAGTCAATGGGCCATAGTGCTGTCTCCCATGACTCCACCACTCCATGCAGCCATCACCTCCAGCCACTCTGACCTCTCTTCAGTCCTCTGGCCTTCTTGATGAAGGGGATATCATCTTCACTTGACCCAAAAACTCATTTCCTGAGATTCAGGCAATTCTTCTCAATCTTAGAAAGTGCTTTCTCCATCCCTCTTGAAGGTTTCTGTGGCTCTGGCTCTGAAAGGGCCTACCTTCCCCCAGACAGTTTTCATTCTGATAGAGTGAATTCAGTTTGGCCAGACATAGTCAACATAGTTGTTGGGACTGATACATGGTTAATACATTGTTTTAATCCTAATTTTAATGTAGCATCATTAAGATGAAGCTCACTGTGCTGGGCACTGGAAATATTATAGTGAGTAATATTGACTTGATTCCTCTCTGAGGGAGATAACAGACTATGAAAAATAGACTCCTGGGAACTCAAAAAGATGAAGAGTAGATGAAGATGAAGCTGACAATGTAGACACTCATAGGAGATTTTTATACTAGTTAGGGAGCTTTTCCTGTAGGTTGAGGACAGAAAGTCATGGGAACATTTTACATAGGGAAATAAAACAGGTAGCATAGAGGTTGTATTTCGGTGGGATAAACCAAAAGGGCAGAAAGATAGTATTATAATAATTTAGGACAGGGTTCTCAAAGTAATGTCACTGGACCATTGGCTTTGGGTTTGCCCAAGAGCTTGTTATTGTAGAAATCCAAATTCTTGAAAATTTGCCCCATAACTATTGAAACAGAAATTCTGGATGTGAGGCTCAGCAATCAGAGTTGTAATAAGTACTGCAGGTAATTCTGATACAAGCTCAAGTTTGAGAAGCACTGGCCTATGAAAAGATTGATGAAGGCCTGAATTACTACAGATGGAAAAGGTGGAGAGGGTAGTTTGTGGTAGAGAGCCATTTAGAAGGTAAAATTAAAAGAAGGATAGACAGATAGATAGACAGATAGATGTTAGATAGATTTGATGGATTGCATATGGAGGGTGAGTGACTTTTCTGGATCTCCAGATTCCCTGCTATTAGCAGAGAAACAGCTTTCTAGAATCCTGACCCATTTACTTTCCCAGGATATCTTAAATATATCAAAATAATAGGGGGAAAGGCATTTGGCAGATATTAAGCTAATTTATTTTCCCATTTCTTGCAGGTCCAACATAGGAGTTGAAATGATGAAGAACTTTACCCCCGTTGAGGTCGTACCATGTAACAGTAAGTCTGGAGTGTTGTTGCCTGCCATGATCACAATTTATCTGTGGAAAGGACATGCTTACTTAGAGATATTTATTCCACATTAACCATTTGATCTCTCATTTCCTGGGCCAAATTACATCAACCACCTTGGGTTTTAGAAGGGATTTTATTCTTGGAAATTATTTTCATATTGATTTAAACCAATTTTCATCCCAAGTCAGATATAAAAGGCTAGGGAAACTGTTAACTTCAGTGGCACCATCTCAAAATGTACAGACCATTTGTATTTAAATTTGAGATTCATTCCTCCAGAGCCAATGATCAGGTGCTGGTGCTTTGTGAAAAATGAATCAGGTGAGCTGCACAGATTCAGAGTTAGGACATTTCTTTGGTGGTTTCTAATTTCTCATTTAGCCAAGCCATCTTACTTTAAGTTCTATGAACTAGAAATTTCTGTGAATTTTTTCTCAGTTTAATCACATGAACTTCAGTGGTCAACACAAAACCATTTCCCTCATAGAAGTGATGTTTGTGCTATACTGGAAATGAAGTGAATTTCAAAATTAAAGTAAAGCAAAGGACTTCCATTTTAACAATCAATGGGGTATACAGTTACTCATTACCCCTTTTTCATGCATTTAGCAAATGTTTACTGAGGACCTACTATACACAAAGAACTTTGCTAAACCCTGTGGAGAACATAAATACAAATAAATCATGAACCCAGATGTAAAGCTCACAATCTATGAAGAAGACAGATCCCTTCTCTGCTAGGGCAACTATCATTCACACCCAACTTTTACACTGAAGAAAGTTCTTAGATTCTTGAGGCAACTTGAATGCTCATAGCACCTCTTTTGTTTCCCTCTTGCCTGAACAGTAATTTCTAGTAAAGGCAGTCAGTTTCTTGGAAGATAGTACCAGACTGTAATTTTTGGAGCCACTTACAAATCTGATGTAATTCGATACGAATAAATATAAGTTCCTAAATATGTACCCCATACCCCAACAATGCAGGTAAATGACAAAGAAGATGTGCATATTAAGTGTTGAATATAAAAGTGACCTCAGACACTTACCTGGGGGAAAACTCAATAGGAGTCAGTAAATACAATTTAGGCTATTTTAATAGAAGAGCATTCAGAAAAGGGAGGTCATGATCCTACTTTTTTCTATGTTAGATCACGCTGAGAATATTACATTCAGTTCTAGACACAACAATTAAGATTTAAGGATTTTAGAAAAATTATTAGCCAGAGAAGATGATTCTGGGACACACAAAATAAACAATGTGTGACACTCATTTCATAAACACGTTCAAGCTTCTTTTCCTGGATAAGTAGTTTGAGGAAGATGAGATTTAAAATTCAGCGAGGCCAATGTCATTGGTGTAATATTTGGCAGGGCCACCGCACCCTGCAATTTCACAGCCCCACATTTCCTCCTGACTCTGGCTGACTGTTCCACAGCAGAGTGGCTCTGGGGACAAGGTGGAGCCCAGGGAGACATTGCAAATGCACAAGAGCCAACAGATCCCCACTCCAAGAAAAACTATTCAAGAAAAACTATGTAATTCATCCTTTTAATATGATCTTACTAAATAAATATTTGTGGAAGAGAGGAGGGCAAAATAGAGCTAAAGAGAAAGGGGGAGGAAAAAGAGGATAAGGAAGGCAAAAATGAGAAACATTTTTCCAAAATAATTTGTGGTAATAAAAATTACTTTGTCTGGAAATTTGTATTGCCAGAGAGTGAGAACATAAAAAAGAACTGCCAGATTGGAATGAAGACTCTTTTCCCCAGTGGTTATACTTTGAAAAAAATGTGGATTACAGCATTTTGTAAACAGATCAAGTTCAATGAAACAAAAAATATAAGTGACTGCTTGGAAAGAAAACTTATTTATCTCATGGGAGATTCAACACTGCGTCAGTGGATTTACCACTTACAAAAAACTGTGAAAAGTATGTATTTAATTTATATTTTGAAATTCTATTTGACTTTTGAGGGTTTTGAAATAATAATTAGAATTATTTGCTTTACTTTTCTAATATTTATTTTATTATTATTTTTTAATTTGCCTAACTTTTGGCTTTGGGCTTTTAATAAAAAGTTAAATTTTATATTTTCATTCACAAATGTCAATATTTTTCTTCCTCTTCATGTATTCTCATAAAAAGTTCAAGAGTTTGTTAAGATTGTAATGCACCTGGTAAAATTATCCACCCTACATAGGCAGCAATGCTTAGTTAGAAGTGATCTTGGTTAGAATTGTATACATGTTATGTGCAGTTTAAAGTTATATCATTTTCCTTTTGTTAAAAGATTTATTGATTTGTCTTTCATCAGCCCTAAAATATTTTGATCATCATGGAGCTGGGATCTTTAAAACACACGTTCTTCTGGATATTGAAAGACATATTTTGATTCAGTGGAAAAAACATGGTCATCCATTTGTTACCAAAAAGTTATTCTCAGTGAAAGATGAAAACTATATCCCACGGGAAATTGACCAGGTAACAGGAGACAAAAACACAGCCATTGTCATTACCCTCGGCCAACACTTCAGACCTTTTCCCATTAACATTTTCATCCGTAGGGCCATCAATATTCAAAAGGCCATTGAACGTCTATTCTTGCGAAGCCCAGAGACCAAGGTGATACTTAAAACCGAAAACACCAGAGAGATACATCAAAATGCAGAGATGTTTAGTGACTTTCATGGCTATATTCAGAATCTTATCATAAGAGATATTTTTGTAGATCTTAATGTGGGTATTATTGATGCCTGGGACATGACAATTGCATATTGCACCAACAATGCCCATCCACCGGATTATGTGATTCAAAATCAGATTGACACGTTCTTAAACTACATTTGTTAGAGGAAAAATACAAAAATAGCACTAGCCACTTTCTATAGATGATCTTGCACATACAGTGAGGATAGTTTAATGCAATCCAAGTTTTGAGGAAACTAAATTTGAAAAAGTTTTATTATAGTTAAATATATGTAACATAACATTTACCATTTAAGCCATTTTATTATTTTATTTTATTTTTGAGATGGAGTTTTGCTCTTGTTGCCCAGACTGGAGTGCAATGATGTGATCTCAGCTCACTGCAACCTCCACCTCCAAGGTTCAAGTGATTATCCTGCCTCAGCCTCCCAAGTAGCTGGGATTACAGGTGCCCACCACCACGCCCAGCTAATTTTTATATTTTTTAGTAGAGATGGAGTTTCACTATGTTGGCCAGGCTGGTCTCGAACTCCTGACCTTAGGTGATCTGCCCACCTCAGCTTCCCAAAGTGCTGGGATTACAGGCATGAGCCACCATGCTCGGAATTATTTTAATTTTTTGAGATAGAGTCTCACTCTGTCACCAAGACTGGAGTGCAGTGGCACAATGTCAGCTCACTGCAACCTCTGCCCCCTGGGTTCAAGTGATTCTCCTGATTCAGCCTCCCATGTAGCTGGGATCACCAGCGTGCAGCACCACTCCTGGCTATAAACCATTTTTAAGCATACAATTCAGTGGTATTAAGTAATGTACAATGTTGTGAAACCATCATCATGATCCATCTCTGGCACATTTTTAACATTCCAAAAAGAAACTCGGTACCTATTAAACAATAACTCCCCATTCGCTCCTGTCCTTGGCCCATGGAAACCGCCATTGTATTTTCTGTCCTTCTGAATTTGACTATTTTAGGTAGCTCATACAAGTGGGAACAAGCAGCATTTGTCCTTTTCCGTCTGACTCATTTCACTTAGCATAACGCCTTTAAGGTTCATCCATGTTGTAGCATTTGTGAGAATTTTCCTTCATTTTTCAGACTGAATAATATTCCATTGTATGTGTGTACCACAGTTTGTTTATCCATTCATTTGTTGGTCAACATTTGGGTTGTTTCCCCTTTTGGCTACTGTGAATAGTACTTACTAGGAAGAGAAAACCAAATGTAAAGGCATGTCTCCAGTGCAGAGCATGATGATTGAATAGCAAATGATCATCACCCATAATCTGAAGACATGTGCAGCCCAGAAATGCATAGATTAAATGATTCAAGTTTAGAGAAAGTATGATGTATACAGGAAAACTCAGTGGGATCATAATAGCAGTTTTCTTGCTTAGGAAAATTATTTGGAACTTAGTAACCAGTTGTTCTCTAGATTCCAGTAAGAATCGTGGGTCACAATCCAAAACCCACAGGCTCATTGAGAGAAACCAACTTAGTATTATGTTAATGTACAGACCCCAAAACCATGATTCTTGGATATCCTAAAATATGATTTGGGATCCCCTCCAGAGGGCCTCAAATGACGAATTTTGTCTCTAAATCTTCCTCTCATTAGAAAGATACACTCCCTTTCTATTAATACACTCTAGGTCTCAAGAGTGGGAATATTGTTATCAAGGATACTTCCCCTGTTAGGACTGTGTTTCTTAGTGAGAGGAAGTGAAGTTATAATGCTGTAACATCAGTACAAAGTCTGGGTCATTGGGAGGTGGAGGTTGCAGTGAGCCAAGATCGCACCACTATACTCCAGCCTGGGTGACAGAGCGAGACTCCATCTCAAAAAAAAAAAAAAAAAAGAAAAGAAAAGAAAAGTCTGGGTCATACATCTTAACACTAGACTCCTCTAAATAAGGGAACTCACGTTAGAAGTTCCTTCCTTGTATCAAGCTACTTATCGGTTCTAATTCTTCCTTTAGGAAACTTTGAGAGTAAATTTAATTATTCTTCCAACCATTGCACTGTTAATTGCTTAAATGAGTTATCATTTTCCCACCACGACCACCTCAAATTCCTTCAACCTAGTTCTGATATGATAGTTTCTAGTTTTCTTACCTTCTCTTCACATGTACTGATTTGTCTATATCACTCTACAACTCACTCTGTAATGTGCCTTCTCCCCCATCTCTCACCTCAACAAATTGAATGTTTTAATTTAAATGTGATCCATTAACCCCTATAAAAGAGGGTCTATTATTTCTGTTGTTCTAGAATTGCACTGTACAACACAACAGTCATTAGTTGCATAGGGCTATTTAAATTTAAATTAAATTAAGAAAAAAATTAGTTCCTCAGTTGCACTATTCACATTTCAAGTGTTCAATAGCCACATGGAGGTAGTGGTACTGTACAGATAGCACAATATTTGCTTGCATTCTTCTCTAGAAAGTATTTTTTAATGTTTTGTTATTGTAATTGGTCGTATTTTTAAAAGCAAATTCCATCATGCCTTATAATTTTTCGTGGTGAGTAAAAAACCAAAAAAAAAAAAATCACCAAATGTTAGTAAGTGTCAAGTCTCTGATTTTTAAGCCATTTACTTCTTGTTTATTTTTTAAAGAAATTATGGTATCTAAATATTTCATAATGTTTTGCCTTAAAGTGAGAGCTTCAGGTTATTGCAGATATTGACTATATTGCTAATATACAAGACTTGGAAAGCCATTTGAAATAATCAAAATGTTCTCTATTGTTATTATCAAACCTCTTTCAAAAACCCATTTCTGCACAATGGAATGAAACAAAACTAGAAATCAATATCAGAGGCCAGGCGCAGTGGCTCACACCTGTAATTCCAGCACTTTGGGAGCCAAGATGGGCAGATCATGAGGTCAAGAGTTTGAGACCAGCTTGTCCAACATGGTGAAACCCTGTCTCTACTAATAATACAAAATAGCTGGGCATGGTGGCACATGCCTGTAGTCCCAGCTACTAGGGAGGCTGAGGCAGGAGAATTGCTTGAACCCAGGAGGCAGAGGTTGCAGTGAGCCAAGATCACACCACTTCACTCCAGCATGGGTGACAGAGAGAGACTCTGTCTCAAAAAAGAAAAAAGAAAGAAAGAAAGAAAGAAAGAAAGAAAGAAAGAAAGAAAGAAAGAAAGAAAGAAAGAAGGAAGGAAGGAAGGAAGGAAGGAAGGAAGGAAGGAAGGAAGGAAGGAAGGAAGGAAGGAAGGAAGGAAGGAAAGAAAAAAGAAAGAGCAGAAAGAAAATAGGAAAATCCATAAATATTTAGAAGTTAAACATTGCACTGTTAAACAGCCTATGGGTCAAAGAAGAATACACAAGGGGATTTAGGAAATATCTGGAGACAAGTGAAAACAAAGATACAACACATTAAAACATACGGGATGCAGTAAAAGTGACACTAACAGGGAAGTTCATAGCAGTAAATGCTTACATGAAAAAAGAAAAATGTTTGCAAATCAACAGCCTAACTCTGCCCTTCAAGGAACTAGATAAAGAGAAACAAACCAAACCCAAAGTCAGCAGAAGGAAGGGAATAATAAATATTAGAACAGAGATAAAGGAAATAAAGTAAAGCATAAACCATAGAAAAGATCAACAAAACTAAGAGTTGGTTTTTCAAAAAGATCAAAAATTTAACAAACTCATAGCTAGACTAACAAAAAATAGAGAAGAATAAAATAGTTAAAATTATAAATGGGCAATAAGACATTACAATGGATGTCACAGAAATAAAAAATATTTTGAGAGACTGCTATGAACAATTGTATGCTAACAAATTGTATAACCTAGAAGAAATTGATAAATTCATAGAAGCATACAACCTACAATGACTGATTTATAAAGAAATAAGAAATTTGAACAAACCTATAACTGAGAGGACATTGAGACAGTAATCAAAAACCTTTCAATAATAACAACAACAATAAAAAGCCTAGGCCCAGATGGCTTCAGTGGAGAATTCTACTAAACATTTAAAGAAGAATTAACACCAATCCTCAAACTCTCCCAAATAATAAGAGAAAGGAATTCCCCAAACTCATTCTGTGAGGCAAGCATTACCCTGACACCAAGACAAAGACAAGAAAAGAAAACTACAGGCTAATATCCCTGATAAGCATAGATGCAAAAACCCTAAAAAGAAGGAATACCAGCAAACCAAATTCAACAGCACATTAAAAGCATCATATACCATGATCAAATGACAATTATACCTAGAATACAAGGATGGCTCAACATATGAAAATCAGTCAATATAATATGCCACATTCACAAAATGAGGAACAAAAACCACATGATCATCTCAACTGACGCAGAAGAAGCATTTGACAAAATTTAACATCCTTTCATGATAAAAACATTCAATAAACTATGAATAGAGGGAAATTATCTCAACATAATAAAAGCCACATATGAAAAGCCCACAGTTAATACCATATGCAACTAGGAACAACTGTTTTTCCTCTATGATCAGGAACAAAGTAAAGGTGCCCATCCTTACCACTGCTATTCAACATAGTCCTGAAATTTCCAGACAGAGCAATTAAGACAAAACAAAACAAAAAAGAAATAAAAGACATACAATTGGAAAAGCAGAAGTAAATTCCCTCTGTTCACAGATGACATGATCTTGTATTTAGAAAATCTTAAAGATTCTGCACAGAACCTGTTAGAACTAGGAAATGGATTCAGCAAAGTTTCAGCACACAAAATCAACACTTAAAAATCAGTTGCATTTCTATACCAATAACCAATTCAAAAAGGAGATTCAGAAAACAATCCCATTTCTTATAGCACCAAAAAAGATCAAATAGCTAGCAATATACTTAATCAAGGAGATGAAAGACCCAAAAATATAAAACATTGCTAAAAGAAATAGAATACAAATAAATGGAAAGATATCCCATGCTTGTGGATTGAAAGACCTACTATTTTTAAAATGTCATACTATCCAAAGCAATCTACAGCTTCAGGGCAATCTCTGTCAAAACCCAATGGCGTTTTTTGTAGAATTAGAAAATCATAAAATTCATGTGGAATCTCAAGGGATGTTGAGTAGCCTAAATAATATTGAAAGAGAAGAACAAAGTTGTAGGCCTCACACTCCTTGATTTTAAAACATACTTCAAAGCAACAATAATTAAGATGGTGTGGTACCAATATAAAGATAGCTATGTAGACCAATGGAACAGAACAAAAAACCCAGAAATAAACCCTGGCATATCTGGCTACATGATTTTCAGGAAGTGTGCCAAAACTACACAGTCAGGAAAAAAAAAGAACAATCTCTTTAACAAA